TCCTAAACAAAAATCAGGTGTCATGCACATAAATGGAGTACCCCTGAGAGAGGATAAGGAGCCCACATACCTCGGCGTAACGTTTGATGATAGATTAACATGGAGAAAACACATCAACAAGGCAGCAACCAAAGCCAGAAGGAGGGTAGCCATTCTGAGAAAACTAAGTGGAACCACATGGGGTGCTAGCGGGAAAATACTTAGGAAAGTTTACCAACAAAGTGTTCGACCACATCTTGAATACGGATCAACAGCATGGAGTTCGGCATCAAAAACCACATTGCAAGAATTAGATAAAGTGCAAAATCAAGCACTCAGAGTTACCACAGGCAGTATGAAATCAACACCTATAGCTGTGATGGAGAAAATGGGGATGACCCAAGCACTGAGTGAACGCAGAGACACCAAGATGCTTTTACAAGCAGAAAAGTTTCTTAGTATGCCCAGTCACCCTATGAATGAAAGATTCAAAGATTTAGCTTTGGAACGACTAAAGAGAAGTAGTTTTATCCACCAGGCCAAACGGCTCGGCAGACAAACCACTGATTTACCTGCAACTGATAGATCCTTAAATGCTGTCCCAGAACGGACCCCCTGGAGAGAGGGGTATAAGTTTCCAATACACATCAAGACTGAAGTGAAAGGGGTATTTGACAAGGAAGAACAAAACAATGTGCAGCGCAAAACAGCCACCCTCAGTCTACTTGATGATGAATACCCGAAGAACCTTTGGGTCCGTGTTTACACAGATGGGTCAGCAGAAAGCGCAGTCAGAAACGGAGGTGCAGGAGTGTACATTAAGTATCCTAATAATACCAGGGATACAGCCAAATTACCAACGGGAAAGCACTGTTACAACTATGATGCAGAAGTTCAAGCCATCAAGATAGCGGTAGAGAAACTACTAAATATAGGGTATTTTTCACAACCAGTGGTATTCCTGACAGATGCAAAAGCAGTACTTCAGTCACTCCAGTCTGGAAAATTACCAAGCATACAGACACTATTATCCGAACTAGGCAACCGCTGTAAATTAGTAATGCAGTGGATACCTTCCCACTGTGGAGTTCCCGGAAACGAAAAAGCTGATAAACTAGCTAAGGAAGGTGCAACTGAAGAACAACCTGACATACCAGTCTCTTATCAACAGAAGAAGAGAATGATCAAATCAATCAGAATGCCACCGAAACTGGCACAAGATGATTACCATATTATGGACAGACCAGAGCAAGTCATTATCCTTCGCCTTAGAACAGGGCACAATCGACTTCGCTCCCACATGTACAACAAATTTAAGATTGGCCAATCAGCCATGTGTACTTGTGGACTGGCACCTGAAACAACAGATCACATCCTTCAAGACTGTCCCAGATTCAACGCTTTCAGGCAAAACCTTTGGCCAAAAGAGACACTTGTGGAAGTCAAACTTTACGGGCCGCTTAGTGAATTACAAAAGACAGTGAAATTCATAACTAGAGACAGCTTTGCAGATATAGACAATTTATTTCATGCGAACGAAAGAAGAAGAAGAAGAAAGACCTCTATAAATCCCCGAAACCCCATTTAATCGTATAACCATAAAGCACCGTTATATTGGGGCACCACAAAACAGTCACTGAATAAGTAGAATTCTTTTATTCGATAAAGCCAAAGAATGTTTGTCAAATATTTCAGAAACTATATTATTTGGGCAATTTTGTAAAAGTAAAGTAAGTAAAGATCCATTTTCACGCCTTAGGCGCATCAGGTATATGGGAAGAGCGTCCCATATTTTTTCAGACCAATTGGTAGTGGATGGATAATGTGGTCAGCATTACGCCGGCCGCCTTTACTTCCCAATGACAGCCATCATGGCACAAATTTTAGGCTGGGTCGACCTGGGGCAATTTTGAGAAAGAGAAAACCGTGACAACAGGAAAAATTAGGGGAAGAGAGGCCAACAGAGACCTGTGGTCCAGAGTGGGTGGGTTGTCATTGTGGTGTAAGAGTTAACAATCCCCCATCTTATCTAATGCCTGCTAACGTTTCACATTAACAACTTCCGGATATGGAAAATGGCCGAAGACTCGGATTCAGTGGTAGGTTGTTATGCAACAGTTTCGTTGCAAGCTAGTTCGATCATTATATCCTTGATGATCTCAGAACTTTATTTGTGCAATGCAGTGTTTTAAGTGAAGCCGTAATTTTGCAGAATAAGAATGCTCAAATTCGCAAAAGTGTATTGTTTCCATAGCTTTCAATATTCCATCTGTTGTTGTGTGTCAGTGTCACTGTGTGGGTGATTTTTGTTTTTAATTATTATGTTGTTTGTCGTTCTGAGCCATCGATCTCATATACATATATATAGTTCTAATTAGAATAAAAAATAGCATAGGCCTACTACAGACGCTTGAAAGTTATATAATAGGAATTGTTTTATGGTGACTTGTTCTTTTGTGTAACTTAATTTAATGTTAAATATGTGTTGATGGAATAATTAATTAATAGTAATGTAAAGTTAGGTATAGTATAGTCAATAGTTTGTTCAAAGTGAAAACGTCAGGCCACGTAACACTTAACAGTAACAGTTACTATTGTTACTAGGTTAATGTTACACTAGGCAAACCCATTACAATACATTAATTCAATAATTGTCATGTGAGTTTATTCATTAAACCCCAAAAAATATAATACTTTGGCCTGATGTGAGGTATTTTTTTGTCACTAGTGTATTGTAAAAAAAATATTTTTATAATAACTCAACTCATGAGTCAAGATACTACTTCCTTACAACCTAATCTCCTTCTTCAGCATTCCAGCCTGTTAAAGTTCATTCTTGGAGATATAACCTGCCTCCGTTCATCTCTGTGGTTTGACTTCTTTTTCCAGTTGATGACTCTCAATGTTTGTAGGTTTAAATATAAATTATCTCCCTGCAATCTTCTTGGTCTTCCTCGTGGTCTACTCCAGTTTACCTCTTTTGTTCATACAGTTTTTGTTATCTGTTGTGCTGTCTGTATGCCCCAACCATGGCAGACTTTTAACCCTCGGGATCCAGTCATTAGTGGTGATTTAAATAGATCATGAATTACTGCTACAGCCCAATGTAAATCATGTTTATTATTGTTATAAAACACACATTACTATTGAATATCAAACTGTCTGGGGGTTCCAGGCCCCTTTGCGGAGAAGAAAAGAATAGACCCACTGCCTCCCCAACAAACATATTGTAGGAGTCGCCTAATTAGGGTCTTCCTTGAAGTCAGAATATGTCCACCCGAGTGGCGAGAAACAACCAGTTGCACACAAATAAGCTGATAAAATGGATGTAAATGTAAAACTCATCCCCTGGTACAAAATCAAAGTTGAAATGGACAAACAACCAGAACTTTCTACTAGATCTTACGGCCGGTGAAAAAAGAAGAAGAAGCAGAAGAGTACTATCAAGGAAGGTATCGTCATAGTGACCATACTGGGAAATAGTCCTGAAATAACTAATTTATTTAACCATCTGACCTTGTAACTCTAAAGATACAGTTCTTGTGCATACAATCCTATCCCAGTAAACTTCTAAGTCTGTGATACAGATGGGGTAGGTCATTGTTTCTGTCAGGGATTGCTGTTCACAGGATTAGCACCTCAAGGATGAGAATCAAACAGGAACAAATCCAGGAAACCCTGTTCAGCCATGTAACAGTTATATTGGGCAACCTCTATGGTTACAAAGTAACCTGTAGCAGTCTAGTAGGGTGAGGAGAACTGATTCGGAGAATCATTCTTTCATTGTTTTGACAACCTTGCTACTTATCCAGTATGGGTTCTTAAAAACGCATACTGTAGCAGTCTAGTAGGGTGAGGAGAACTGATTCGGAGAATCATTCATTCATTGTTTTGACAACCTTGCTACTTATCCAGTATGGGTTCTTAAACAGGCATACCAGTCAAGACTGTCATTATCAGCTCATATTGGCTTCTGCACTTTTCCCCGATGTGGGTTCAGGGACCCCATTGTGGGGTGGACTCACTGCTGCCCTGGCAAGCATGACGTACAAGACCACTAATTGGCAGAGTTTCCTTCAGAGTCAGAATGCATCTGCCTGAGAGGCGAGTAATCAGCAGTCTGCATACAGATAAGCAACATCTGTAAAATGGATGTGCATGCAAAACTCAAGTTCTGGAACAAAACAGATGTCCACAGGTGGCGGAGCAACAGAACTTTCCACCAAAGGTTGCAGCCAGTAAATGCTAAGAAGAAGGCACCTTGAGTCTTCTCCCCTTCCCCTTCCATAATTGTTTGTGGGGGGGTGGGGGGGGGGGGGGGGGGGGGTTAAGCTGCATGAAAAAATGTATAAAAGTTATCTTGTTCAGTTTTTTATACAGACATATATATTTTTTTAAAATTCAGATTATTATAAAGCATATAAACTGGGCTTAGGTTCCTTGAATCCTTCACCCAGAAATTGTGAGCAAGAGCTAGACTCCCCCAAACTGTTTTGTTTCAGCAAACCCAGTAGCAGTGTAGCATTCAAATGCATTCAATGCGTCAGGCAGCCATCAGAAGTGCCGACACAAACAGTCTAACAGTAGAAATGCAGTTCATCATCATTGGAAGCAGCAGTAACAACAGATCAGTAGTTGCACACACCACCAATTCTTTGGCAGTGGGGCACTGAATCTACAGTTCACAATAAAAACAGTGTTGAGCACAGTCAGAAAGCATTCCATATGAAATCTGCAGCTCACAGTGTAACGCAGTGCACTCGTCATGATAGCTGGGTGACAAAACTATCCTTTCAGTCTACATATGGAGGAAAATGCAATGGCCAACTACTGTCAGAAGCAAAAACTTGTCACAACTAAAGCAGTAAATCAGCCTATCCTCCACACTGACCAGAAAGCTGCCTTTTAATGAAATATGCTAGGCAGTATATATTTTATGCAGCATTTTGTTTGATTGCTCATTATTAAAGTATATATTATTATTCTTATAGGCTTCATCTGGATTCATGTCTGAAGATGACATGGTTGCGTCCAGCTCTTCAGGCAACTTATTTGATCATATTGACCAGCCCAACACATCTGTTGGAAGCTCCAGTTCCTTGGGACCTTGTTCTTTGAGGAAAATAAAAACTAAAGATGATAAAGTCTGTGGTGTTTGTGGGGATAAGGCATTGGGGTACAACTTCAATGCAGTCACCTGTGAATCTTGTAAGGCATTCTTCAGGAGAAATGCTTCAAAAGAAAAGGTACATTTTAATGTTGACTTTTCTCTGTGTAGGTTCTGGGGCCTCATCGTGGGGAAAACAAGAATAGACTTACTGCCTTACCAAAGCATGTTGTTAGAGATGACTAGTTAGGAGCTTCCTTTGAATTCAGAGTACATCTGCCTGAGAGGCATGAAACTAACAATCTGTGTGCAGATGAGTCAGACCTGTGAAATGGATCTACACACAACACTCAGTTTCTGGAACAGGACTAGAGTCCAGAAATGGACAAACAACCAGAACTTTCCACCAGATTTTACAGCCGGTGAACGCAAAGAAGAAGAAGAATGTTGACTTTCCTTTTGTGTGGGTTCCAGGGCTCCATTTTGGGGAAAACAAGAATAGACTCTCTGCCCCTCCTAACAAGGATGTTGTAAAAAATTACCAATTAGGTGTTTCCTTCGAAGCTGGAGAACGTCTGCCTGAGAGATGAGGTACCAGCAGTCTGCTTTTAATTGTATTGCAGTTGGAACCATCAGTATAGGAACTTTTCATTGGCTACTCAAAGGATATAGAGCTTGTGATGGAATGTCCCGAGTGCATTTATTAATTCTTGATTGATTGATTCATTCATTCACTGTATATTAAACATAGAACAGATGTTGAAATAAAGAACAGTAATGAGATGTTACAGAATCGCAAAAAGAAGAAGAATCACAGATAGCTGCAGTAGTTACAATAGTACCACGGATCTTATGTATGTACACTAAGTATGATCCGGCAGGTCGAAGCAAGCTGGTTACGCAGACAGTGGCTTGAGTCATTGCAAAATTCTCCTGTGTGTGCAGTTACTTTCATATTCATCCCAGGGCATGCAGGCGTTGTTGGTAATGAGAGAGCTGATAGACAGGCAGGCACTGCATTAATTGAAGACCGCCGGCCCTTGGATCACGCAGACATTGTCACTGCCCTTAGAGAGTTAGGACGTTCTGAGGGTTTTGGAAGCAACATGTCCACATCACTTCTAAGAATATGCGAATTGGGAGTGAAGATCAGCTCAGCCAAGCATGAGAAGCACACATGACGCACACAAAGTCTTGTTAACCAACATAGGACTGGAACTATTAACCGCAGGCCGCTGATGCATATGTTGAGAGGGGAATATGAGCGCTTATGGATGTGTCCGGAGGGCTGGGAAGATAATCTAACTCGTAACTCGTACGTAAACTAAACGTTGCAATTTACCTAAATGTAAAAATAGGATTGTTCTGAGTATAAAAATGTGAATGTGATGTATTTATATCTTCTCTTGTTTGCCAGTCAGCAGTTTGCTTATTTGACAATAATTGTGTTGTGGACATAAGAACAAGACGATTCTGCCCTGCTTGCCGGATTAAAAAGTGCTATAAGATTGGTATGAAGAAGGACATGATTTTAGGTAAAGTAAATACTTACTTTCTTTTCAAGGTCACAAATTTTACATTGAAAGTTTGCAGAATACATAAAATGTAGACCAGTACTGAAAGACTTGTATATAGAGTACCAGTACTGAAAGACTTGTATATAGAGTACCAATACTGAAAGACTTGTATATAGAGTACCAGTACTGAAAGACTTGTATATAGAGTACCAGTACTGAAAGACTTGTATATAGAGTACCAGTACTGAAAGACTTGTATATAGAGTACCAGTACTGAAAGACTTGTATATAGAGTGCCAGTACTGAAAGACTTGTATATAGAGTATCATAGGTAGAGCTTTGAGCAGTCTGTGAAGGAAGGATTGACAGTGGTTTTTGTGCTTTGATTACGTCTGCTGATGACTGCTTATTTTGTAAAGTATAAGACTGCAGTCGGCTCTGTGGCTAAGTCGATGTGCTTCATAATGCCGGGTTCGATCCCAGTTGTGGGCCATGTGCCTTCCGTTGGTTTCGACAGTGGTATCAAGAAAGCAATGGCCAACTACTGGACGTAAATTTGCCTAGAAAACCACACAACAGCCAGGGGCTGTTTGGGGTTGGTTCTGCAATGTCCTGTAAAGGATACACAACTAACCTGTAAGACTGCAAGATAAGCATAATTATGTTTGCTACAGGGGCTACATATTTTGTACAGTATGCTAGAGAGACACGTCAGTTCCCCACTATAATGATAAACAATCAGCAGAAAAGTCCTCTGTGTTGGTTCCAAGGAAGAATAGATCCACTGCTTTTAGCAAACATGTCATAAAAGGCACTATTTAAGGATTTGCTGAAATCTAATGTGTGGAGCCAAAAGGCGCAGACATTTTGGCTTATCTGTAAACCACAACTCAGTGGCCAACTGCCCTTTTAAAGAGTGAGAGAAAAAGAAGAAGAAAAATCCAAGTATTACATTATCACTCGGAGAATTCTTGTGTTTTGCTTGGAGTAATTATGTTTCTTGTCTGGAAACTGAGTCATCCTCAGTTCTTTAAGTCATACAAAAATACCTCCAAGAAATGTTAATGTTTCTGTCACAAAATTTGATATTGTTTTTCATTTTACCCAAACAAATTCTTTAACTCTGTATATTTTAAGCACTTATAGTTTCAAGTCTTTCTTAGTGGCCTAGAGCTGACTCAGTTGGGCTCTACATAGGGTGACCAGACATTGTGTTTTCACTGGGACAGTCCCGTATTTTTTCAGATGTATCCCAGCCGTCCTGTCGGTATTTAAAAAAAAAATGTCAGTTGTCTCCTTTTATCTTTTTCTTTCGTTCGCCTTAAATAAGTTGACTATATCAGCAATTTTGTCTCTCATATAAATTTCACTGTCATTGTTAGTTCATTCAGTGATCCATAGAGTTTACATTCTTCTGTTGTTCTTTCTGTCTCCTTTTATGAAAACCTAGGAATTAGCTCCAGAACATATATTTATACCAATAGACCTTGTTAGATTTCATAGTTTAAAATAATTTTAACACTGTGTCTGATTACTGACTTCCTCGGAATGTCCTGTTTTCAGCTCAAGATATTGTGGTCACCCTAGCTGTACAAGTCAAGCATATGTCCTGAAAGCTTATGTCAGCTTGAACTTACTTCATTGGAAGACTTCAGAATTATCTTTGCTTTGAAATCTTACCTGTATATTTTCTGGACTGTCTTTGTGGTGACCTGTGAAAGACCACATGTCATGAAATAGATTTCTGTGTTTGTTCTCACACAGGACGCCCGTGTGTATTCTTGAACACGTAACAATTTCTTTGGCAGTTGGAAATTGAAAAGAGAAGCCTAACGGCGCTGCCCAGGCAAAATTTTGAGTTAAAAATCTACCCAAACAATTTCAGGATCCTCGCCAGTGCAACAAAGTTTGCTCACTGCACAGAGATTCTTCAGACTCAAGCTTGAGTTAGAAGTAGAACGGAGCACTAATGGGTTACACCTGATTGCATTGATGTTGATCTGTCAAATAAACATAAATAGGAGAATACTTCAGTAGACCAAGAGCACCAGCTAATGAAAACTGTTTAATGTGATGAGATTTATTTGCATAATTAAGGACGGATGCACACAAATACTCCCTCTGTCTCTCTTCTCTTTCACAACTCAGTGGCCTTATACTCACACACACACATATTAAAAAATTTGCTGTTGCTTCTTATATTTTCTCGCCAAAGGTTTAATTTATGTTTCTTAAATTTGCTTCATCCATAAATTTAGATGACAGTGAGAAAAGAAAACGGATGAATAAAGTCATGGCAAACCGGGCCAAACGGGAACACCTGCCAGCACCAGAAAGCTCACTGATACAGATCAAAACTGAAGTGGACACTATAGATTCTGTAATGGAGGTGCCTGCCATGCTGGAAACTGTCAATGAAGTGGAACGGCCACCTACTCCCTTTGGCAAGACACATGGTAGCACATCCGACATCATCTTTAGGCATGTTCCAAAACAGTTATTACCAGCAGATGCCAGCATGTATTACAAGCTGACACTTGCTGAAAGCTCCCTCCTGGCGCATGTTACAAAAGCGTACCAGGAAACCCTAGCGGCCATGCCAGAGATGGGTCCGTATTCAGAACCAAAGCAGTACCAAAAAGCAGCTGATCTAGTCAATCATTCAGAGGTTTGTGTGAGGAAGTTGATTATGTTTGTGAAATACCTAGATGACTTTAAGCGCTTGAGTCAAGAAGACCAGATTGCTGCCTTGAAAGCCTGTGTTATGAACACAGTGTTGCTGCGCTCAGCACTTTTTTACAGTATTGAGAAAGATGCTTGGTTGACACCCAAAGGGGAGATTCCGACTAGCATTCTGAAGAATACAACCGGCTTTGTCTCACTTCACAACAACCATGTCTACTACTGTCGGAGAGTGAAATCAATGGCTCAGGATGATTACCAGATTTATGCACTTCTTCAGGTTAGTAGAGTCATTAAGTGTTCTTTGTGTAATAAAAGACTTATCGTCTATTTGTCCTGGGCACATTTAGAGGACTCATTGTTTATGCATTGCATGCATGTTATGTAATGGTGTCATTCTTGGTATATTCTTTGCATGTGAATGAAAACAAATGTTCTGTGCACATTAGTAGACACATTGTTTATGTATTCTCAGTGTGTCAGTGGACTTACTGTTTGTGTATTCTATGTATTTTAGTAGTCTCATTGTTTATTTCTTCTATGCCTGCTAGTGGACTCATTGTTTGTGTATTCTGTATATGTTAGTGGTTTCATTGTTTATGCATTCTATGTATGTTAGTGAACTCATTGTTTATGTATTCTATGCATGTTCGTAGACTTATTGTTTGTATATTTTTTTGTATGTTAGTGGTTTTATTGTTTATGTTTTCTATATATGTTGGTGGTTTTATTGTTTATGTATTCTGTGTATGTTAGTGGATTCATTATTTATGTATTTTATTATGTTAGTGGTTTCATTGTTTATATATTCAATGTATTTTAGTGGTCTCGTTGTTTTTTTCTTCTATGCATGCTAGTGGACTCATTGTTTGTGTATTCTATGTATATTAGTAGTTTCATTGTTTATATATTCTATGTATGTGAGTGGTTTCATTGTTCATGTATTTTAATATATTAGTGGTTTTATTGCTTATGTATTCTATGTATGTTAGTGGTTTCATTGTTTTATGTATGTTAGTTGTTTTATTGTTTATGTATTTTATGTGTGTTAGTGGTTTCATTGTTTGTGTATTCTTTATATGTTAGTGGTTTCGTTGTTTATGGATTTTAGTGGTTTTATTGTTTATGTATTTTATGTATGTTAGTGGTTTCATTGTTTGTGTATTCTTTATATGTTAGTGGTTTCATTGTGTATGGATTTTAGTGGTTTTATTGTTTATGTACCTTATGTATGTTAGTGGTTTCATTGTTTGTGTACTTTATGTATGTTAGTGGTTTTTGTGTGTATATGTATTATATATATGTTTGTGGTTTCATTGTTTATGTATTCTTTGTGTGTTAGTGGTTCAATTGTTTATGTATTTCATGCAAGTTAGTGACCTCTTTATGTATTGTATGTATGTTAGTGGTCATTCAATCATTTTTGACTAAGATGATCTTCCCGGCTACGCTGGCAAACTGTCCAGCATCTTGTCTCTTGGACTCCCTCATTTTCTCCTTTAACTATTCCACCATCACAATATTCTCCAGTTCTCCCCCTCTCATGGTGTGATCAGAGAATGTAGATTGTCTCCTCCTGATGTGGGTAATCAGATCTCATCATGAGTAAATTACTTTCAAGACATCTTCATTACTCTTGTTATCTGTCCATGGTGTTCTCATCATTCATCTATAAAACCACATCTCCAGTTGTTTATGATAGTTTGGACATGTATGCAGAATGAGAGAAAATTGGCCACTGTGGCAGGCATGGGAGACTGAGTACTAGGTAACCCGACCTCCAGGGTGACTCAGGGTCCGCAGGAAAGACAACAATCAACATACCCTGCTGACCGAGGACTGGAATGGGACAAAGCTAGCAAGAAAACTGCTGATAGAGATGTCTGGCGATCTTTCTGGCAAACCTCTACACCCAAAGGTAGAAGAGGAGCGACTAAGTAAGTAAATAAGTATTTTCCAGTAATAAGTGTAATAAATTGCTGGGTATTAATTGAAGATAGAACATTGTAGTCTCCATTGTTGTTTGCTGTTGCAAAATATTGATAATGTTTCTGTCTTATATTTCAGACAATAATTGTTTTCGACCCAGCAGGCATGAACATCACCAACAGGGAATTTATGTCATCTTTGCAGGATCAGTATATCATCCTCCTGAAACATTATTTCGAATCCTGTTTCTCGTATGAATTTGCTAAAGAATACTACGTGAGTGCTTTAGACAGGCTGTGCGACCTGAAGGCCCTTAGTGAGGAGCATGCCAACGTGCTGCTACAGGTGAATCCAGTAGACATTGAGCCTCTAATGCTAGAGGTTCTAAACTTGAAGTAATAACAGAAGTTCGGAAAATCAGTTGATGACTCACGTGGAAGTTCAAAGAAATGTTGTCTCTTAGTAAATTTAAACAGTGCAGAGTCAAACAATCAAACAATACATTGCACAATATTTTGCCAGGCATATGTAGATGTATTGACTCTGATAGTCATAAAACCTGTGAACTTCCGGTGATAAGAAGAAAAACATATCCTAGATAAGACTTGATTTGTGTATTTCAGTGGAATAATTCAGGTTTTCATGCTTCATTATTTGTTGATATGTAACTCTGGAGTATCACACCTGACAAGATACAGTCAAATATGGCTGGCAGTAAATTATGCATTGTATTGTTTATGTCCGCATTGTTTAAATTACACAAAAAAGCTGGCATAGTTTACCAGATTTTGATTTGTGGTGTCGTGATTGCTATTCATGGGATCATTCTATATTACACAAGCACTACATCGCCAGGTAACATTAGGGAAGAGAATAAACCTTGAAAGCTGCCATGCATCTTGTTGTGAGAGGCTTCCTGTATGGGTTCCTGGGCCTCATTGTGTAGTAAAGGGGAGGAAGGGGGGGGGGAAGACCCACTGCTCCCTATCAAGCATGTCATAAAGGTCTCCTAATTAAAGGTGTTTCCTTGAAGTTGGAGTGCATCTACAAATGAGGCAAGGACCCAGCAGTCTGCATACAAAGAAGCCAGATCTTTAAATTAGATGTGTTTTGGACAGCTCAGGTTCTGGAACAAGATGAAAGTCCAGAAGTGGATGAACAACCAGAACTTACCACTGCAGTTCAAGAGTGGCGAAGGCGAAGAATAGAAGTAACCCTTTATCCTGCCATATATGTTGTAGTTAGAGGCCATTAAGAAAAGTTGGTTTCAGACTGGCTGTCTCATCCCACACAAAACTATTTGCTGCCTCAGTGTACTGTTTACACATAAAATTTTTTTTTTTAAACTAGATTTATTTGCCCGACTTCACACGGGATAGTGAAAGAAAGTCTTATTCTCCAATCCTCTACCTCATCTTTGTTTCCACCGCTGCCCTTTATTTAGGCCTAGTGGAAATAGGCATTTAACAAAAACCCTGTATTTAATTTTATTTCTTCTACGTCATCTTCGTCTCCACCACTACTGTATCTTTAGCCATTGCCCCTAAGTGCACCAGTCATCCCCTGTAATACTAACACTAGTATTTAACAGTTTGTGAGACAGACAAATGTACTGTCTCAGAAACATATAGATAAGATATGTGGTTTTAAAGAAGATAACAAAATATAATTTTTTTTAAAAATTACTTTTTAAAGGGAAGTAATGGGAAGAAAATAATCAGAAGGGTATAATCTGCATGAGAGGTGAGAAACCAACATTCTGCATACAAATGGCCAGATCTGTAAAACAGATGTGCACACAAAACTCAAGTTCTGGAACATGACCACAGTCCAGAAGTGGGCAAACAGCCAGAACTTTCTGCTGGATATTTGCCATCAGTGAACACTAAGAAGAAGAGAAGAAAGAAACTTATCTGTGGGACTTGGGGATTTTCAAAAATACATTGATATCAGAGGCTTGATATTAACCATGGTTTATTAAACAAACACAGCTACCAGCATGTACCCAGTACAGCTATCAGTATGTACTTGCCCCCGTGTGGGTTCCGGGGCCCCATTGTGGGGAAAACAAGAATAGACCCACTGCCTCCCCAAAAGCATGTCGTAAGAGTCAACTAATTGGGGAGCTTCCTTTGAAGTCGGAGTGCATCTGCCGGAGAGGCAAGGAACCAACAGTCTGTATTCAAGAGAATGAGATCTGTAAAACTGATGCACACGCAACACTCAGGTTCTGGAGCAGGACTGCAGTTCAGTAATGGACGAGCAAACAGAACTTTCCGCCAGAGTGTACAGCTGGTGAACGTAAAGAAGAAAGAAAAAGAAGTATGTACTTGGTACAGCTCAAAACAAGTGAACGGATCTCCTTCCTCAAACCCTGGAATGGAGATCAGATAAGATACCTAGTCTTGGACAGGAGCTGAAAAATATGTGCATCAGTTCTTCTTCTGCATCACTTTAAAAAAGAAAAGGCAACATATGCACCCCACGTTTAAATGTATTGTGCTCTATGTTAAAATCAATAGCCAGATTTATTTACACAGGACAGACCAACTATGTAAAGTTTAATGAAACATGTGCAGTGTTAAAGGCAAGAGGATCTGCTTAATTACACCTGGTTTGATCCTATCTGGCTCATCTCTTCTCTGTCAACGTGATACCACCTGCTGAGAGCAGAGACTCTGTAGCTCCTGTGATTGTCCCCAGGAATCTCTGTAAAATGTGTATTTGCGAACCAAACTGCGCAGTCTGAAAATGAACACAGGACCTTCACAGCACGAGGCAGCATACATACATGGCTTAACCCCTTCGCTACATGGACCCCATAACTCAAGTGCACATGGACAATAATTGATCACACTTAGTGTATTGGTGGAATGACAGGAAAGGAAGCTGCAGTCATGTCTGATGACACACGGCTGCACATTTAGTCTGCAGGACTTTTACAGATTGTATAATTAAAACAAATATATGTTTAGTATAGTGACGTCTGTGATGTGCTGTTGGTCAGTTCTGGAGACTGAAATTACAGAACAGTTTTTTTTTCTTCATTGATTTACTGTTTATTAGTTTTGGAGATTTAAACTGCACAATTTTTATGATTTACTGTTTGTCAGTTTTGGAGATTGAAATTACAACACTTTTGTGATCTGCTGTTGTTCAGTTTTGGAGATTGAAATTACAACACTTTTGTGATCTGCTGTTGTTCTGTTTTGGTGACTGAAATTACAACACTTTTGTAATCTGCTGTTGGCCAGTTTTGGAGATTGAAATTACAACATATTTGTGATTTTCTGTTTGTCAGTTTTGGAGATTGTGATTACAATAATTTTGTGATTTTTATCGGTTAAATTTGGAGATTCAAGTTACAATACTTTTGTGATCTGCTGTTGGTAAGCTTTGGAGATTGGAATTACACTTTTTTTTAATGTGCTGGTTTTGGATATTGGAATTACATTACTTTTGTGTTTTGCTGTTGGTAATTTCTGAAGACAGAAATACGAGACTTACGTACGTAAACTTGCAGTTACTCTTAACAGAATTTAAACTGCATAATTACAGATGTTAAGCTTGTGTTCACATAGCTGTAACATGTATAGCTATATATTAAAGTTTTTGTTTTTTTATGATTACATTTTAACATGTTGCAGCATCTGGCAACAACAAATGTCATGTGCTAATAATTTTGTGATAATTTATGTAGAACCTTTAATGTGCCAGTGGTGACATTATATAAATATATATACGTTGTATGAATTTGTGCAATGTAATTAGCATGTGATTTAGTATCACATAATTCAGATTGTACATTACCGTTATTCTTTAGTGGAGCTGAAATAACTGAGAAGATTATTTCTGAAATGAGTTTATCCATATATATATATTTTTGTTTCTGGAAATAGGATGTAACTGATCATTCTTCTGCTTGTTTGTTACTGAGAGCTCACATGAGAAACAAAGAATAGTAACACTGTCATGCTTGTCATAAATGGCCACTAAGGAGTGTTGGTGTGAGACCAACAGCCTTATCCCATAGAAGCTCCAAAATCCCACAAAACGTGAACAGGTCTTCAGGGGGCTTTATGTGAATTGGTTGAGAGCCTTTTGCTCTTTATTGGAGTTGAAAGGCAGCAAAGGAAATGAAAAGGAGGTAAAGGTGATAAAAAAGGTGACAAGGACAAAGAAGACCTTTCTTCCATTGTTCCTATGTGGGTTCTACACTTTGGGAGAAAAATAATGGACCCATTGCCTCCCTAACAGGCATGATGTAAAAGGTGATTCGTTGGTGGTTTTTTCCTCATAATTCAAAGCGCATCTGCTTGAGCGGCAAGGAACCAACAGTTTGCATACAAGTGAACCAGATCTGTAAAATGGATGCGCGTGAAAAATTCAAGTTCCGGAACAAGGTTAAAGTCCAGAAGTGGACGAACGACTAGAACTTTCTTCCAGAGTTTACAGCTGGAAGAAGAAGATCATACTTCCATTGTTGTTAGTTACTGTGGCAAGAAGTCTTTTCCTAAGCTGTGTTTCTGAGCAGTGCTGCTGCTGTTGTATATCGCAGGGCTGCTGCTGTTGTATATCGCAGTGCTGCTGAGTTTGTTTATAGCAGCTCACTGTGATAAAAATTAAGAAAGGCCCGAGTAGTGAGCTTGTAACTGCTCAAGATGGTTGTAGCCACTTAGGGTGGCTGGTTTTTATCAGTATAACAGTCCCCCACTCAGCTGTATAACAAGCCACTATCTAGCTGTATAACAACTTACTAGGTTGGAAAAGGTGTTTTAAGGCGAGTTGATTGGGTTTACAAAGTGGCTGTTTTGCAGACTTATTTAAATATCTGTAAATGGATTGTAGGGGTATTGATGCCTTTGTGGGTAATGTCTTTCAAAGCTTCTTACCTTCAGCAGAATATGCCATTACTGTTGCCTATTCTTTAATGCTGTTAGTAATGGATTTTATTTGTCTGCCTAGTTATTTGCCTTCAACTGCTCCCTGAAGCATTCATGGCAACGTCCAAAACAAACAAAAATGTCACATTCAGTAATCCACATCTGTGCAGAATAGGGGTGACAAAATGGTGTGACAGAGACAGTAATCAACTTCCACCAAATAAATGGAGTGAAAAGATAACTGCCACTAGATAGGACACACTGGAAGAAAAAAAAAACCTGCTAATAGTCAATAGAAGTCATTGCACTGGAACCCACAGGGCAAAAGAGATCTGGAGGTTTAATTTGATTGTGTCTGTGTGTTGGGAAATGAACAGGCAGACAGATTGGCTCGCTCTGCACAACTTGGTGGAATATTGATGCGGGATAAGGCAGATGTGGTTTAGGCCTTATGGGAACACATGTATAATTTCAAACAGCAAATTTAACCTCAGTCTGTGTGGGGGTGATGCAGCA